CGGAACCACCGACGCTGAACAGCAGAATTCAGTAAAACTTGCATGAATTGTAGTAGCGTTTGAGAGAGACTGTAGTTTTAGGCCTTGCTGTTCATAGATTAATTCCGTATACCACTGGACACATAAGCACTATTTGGCTTGAAAGAAAGAACTGGTCAGCTCATAGACAGAAGTGGCAATAACCCAATCATTTTTCACTTGTGAAAAGGGAGATGTAGCCCAAAAACTCAGACAAAAAAATGGTGCAATGTAGAGGTTTCATCCAGCTTTGAAGTCCACAAAATCCGCCACTTGCGTGATGTACAACATTGCAACTCTACACAAAATAAAGCTTATTTCATAAAGCCTATCTACAGTCTATCTGCAAAAAGATTAAAAGAAAAAGCCTAATTAAGGTGTACAAATATTTCCTGAAAGCAAACAGCGAGGGTGGAAAAGATTATTTAGTATTGCTATGATGCACTATGAGAGCAGTAAAGGACTAATCAAACAAAAGTTTACGTGCAGTCTCAGATAAAATTTCCAAACCATGACATCTATCTGACTTCATCAAACTCCCAAGTGAAATGAAAGAGGCTCCAGCAAATTCAAAATCTGAAGTCTGGCTGAGCAGAACAACAGGAAAACATACTGGGGTGAACAATTCTGCACCAGTCATTGAAAGATGGATGACTGGGTCCTATTCCATGTATAAACTCAGTGAATATATCAGTTTAATTTACTAAGGAAATTCACTAACTTTAAGCCATGGGTATTATCTTAACAAGGAATCAGTTAAAACTGCATTATAACCATATAAACACCTTTTCCTAGCCTGTACTCCAAAGGACATTTTAAGAAAAGGGAACCCAGAGGATGAAGTGTTTAAATCTTCCCAAAGATATTTCCCAAATATATAAAAGAAAAAAATCATGGGTTACAAATTGCAATGCTCAGAACTAATCATGTAAAAACAGTATTGTCTTCCTTCTTACATCTGCTTTGTGTATCTATCTCCCCATTTTTCCAACAAAAGCTATTTACCCACTAAATAAAGAGCTAACAGTAGAGAGACACTGGAACTTACTCGGTATCAATATACCTTCAGCAAATTCTTACATGAGTTGTGACAGCAAAAGCCTTCATCATTGATGACAATGCACGAACCAAAAGGCATATCTGTTCTTTAGCACAATACTTATCATCTGAGGCATTTGTGTCTAAAATTAAACAAATATTTTTTTCAAACTGGATCCAAAAGCAGCAAACAGACATAATAAAATCTGAATTCCAAGTTGATATGAGTCATTGTCAGACACATTATTCTTAAAAGAATGGAAAACTTCAACTGAAACTGAAAGCAGTGATTAAGTGGATCAGGGCAGTGGAACACCTTCTGGAAATCCCCAGGGTAACAAAATAATTATATACCTGTCTTTCTTTTTGAGAGCAAAAGACCTGTATTAGTTAGGAATTTGTTTTCTTTTCAGAAACAACTGAAGAAATTAGCTGCTTCGATGCTACAATGCTGACTGTCATCAGAAAGAATGCCTTTAGAAAGCAGAGAAGAAAAAAGAAAGCGAACTAAAAATTTTAATGGAATTTAAATACTGCATTGAAGTGAGGATATATGACAAAACATTCTCCTGACAAATAATTTGTAGGATTTAGACACAGTAGTTCAGGAAATTACTATCAGAAATGTTACAAGTTTTTTTATCAGAGATAATAAGGAAGGAGGAGAGTCTAACAAGAGGAAATAAAACTGAGATACAATTAGGCTGATAACAGGAAATTTAATTATCCTGGAAAGGGAAACTCTATAAACTGGAAAGACTTGTAACTCTTCATGACTATTCCAGAAGCTAATTTTTTGTTGAAAAGTGCAGATAATAGACTAAAGAATACCTTAATAAAAACAAAAAAACCCCCAACCAACCAACCAAACAAAAACACTAAAAAAACAGAGACAAAATAATGTTGTATTTCATTGTTCCAGGGGTTTGATAGATACAATTCCCAGGGCTTTGTGTGCAATTTTTTCATTGTTTCTTTAACCAAATTTTGACTCATTTATAAGACAAAAACTACAATGTATTCTTTCAACTTAAAATAGATTTTTTTAAAACCTGTTTAAAATATTTGTATCACAACTTGATTACTGCTGATGGAAAACTGATTTACCTGGATATTTTACAGTGAAGCTGCCCAAGACAGCACTGCATCAATTCTCTGGTAGGTATAATTTTCAACCAAGAAAATTCCATACATTCAAGAAAAAGCATCGTGCTTCTTTTCCTTCAGTTTCTGATGCTTTTCTGCATTTTGTTTGAAGCTTATATAACCTGCATATTATTTGAAAACAGGCTGTTTTTCTGAGGTAATATTAATTTTTAAAAAACTATATTAAAAATAACTGAAAAGATACACGGAAAAATGACTTATGGTTCTTGGGATAAGAAGTGAGTTCTAGCAGCGTCGTGCAGCCCCGCAGTGCTAGAGTGAATATTCCTCCTCCCTTCCAGCATCTGATGTCACTTCTCAAACAACAGTCTAGGGAAGCAGCAAAGTAACGCTGGGAGTTAGAGCTTGGAGAAAGAGAATTGCCACTGAGATCTCCTCTTGTCACCAGACCCCTCAACAGCGTGAAGCTGGTGGGAAGTGAGAGACTGCCAGCCTACTGTCTTTAAGAGTTCGCAAAGTTGTGAAAAAAATATGCCTGGAGAAGCAAGGGAGGGTTGGAAAGGCTGAGAAGAGAGAGGACAGGAGAGCCCAGGATACCGTAAGGGAGTAAAAGCAGACGTTCGTGTCCTCCGGTTCCTCGGAGCAGGATATAAGTATACCAGATTTCTAGAGGCTAACGTGAAAACTAGGAGAAAATTCCCGCTGCCTCTTACTCAGAACATTGCTGCACTGGGACCCATCCTCCACAGGGGCAAGTTGGTGCCAGGAGCATGGGAGCAAGGTGCTCTCCCACAACGTCTCGTTCTGATTCCCCAGCTGGTCTCGCACAGGTGAAAGAGGCTACTGACTCAAGGAATGCTGCCCTCCCTCTATGGCTGCACATAATTTCACATATCACGGGTATCTCTGTAGATAGCAAAAGTAGTAATATTAAATCTGGAGAGATTAAAATCTAAAGTTAAAAGAATATTACAATTATTTTAAGTGTAGGAAGATTTTACTATTAAGTTATGACAGGGTTCATTATGACAGAATATTGTCTCTGCTTCCTAGTTGGTACTGGATTCAAAAGCACAATTAAAACCACAAACATGCATAATAAGCTAGAAACTGTGGCAGAGCTACGAAAAAAGAGGTCAAGTGAGTTGAATTAAAGAAAAGAGGCAGGAAATCCTGCTTCTTACTCTAAGGTACGACTATGATTTATTCCCTTACTATGGACCTTACCGATGTAGTCAAGTCCTTGTTCTTAATCTGAGTGTGACAAAAGGTTTCTGTAAACCAGCAATTGACCATTCTCCCAGTACAGCAAGAGTAGGAAGCAGCAACTACGACACACTGCAGTTTGGTAATACTGTACTGATCCAATGGCTTTTCTAGATTAGCTGCAACCTTGTGTTTTAAATTGAGACCTGTAAAATTTCTTATTTAGCTCCTTTGATCCACCGTGTTTACTGAACATAGCTCTATATTCAAACCTTAATCTTTCTGAGCCTCAGCAACAGATTGTTTATTTCCCCTATTACTACCTACCTTCCATGGATTCTGAGAATTACTGTAGGTAATATTAGTGATGTGTTTTAGTACTTAATTACTACCAAATTTAATACTGAATACAGTATTACTGAACAGTAATACACCTAGCAAATGAAGTGATGGGAGCAAAGACTAAATACGATTCAGCTTTTTGTTGTTGTAGTTGTTGTTGTTGTTGTGAGGGAACGGGTTTTGAGCGGTTCTGTGAAAAAGCTGGATGCTGGTACTGAGATCAGTTTTTGGCTGGTATGTTGAACTGAATCAGATCATGAAGGAGCCAGACAATTTTCTTCCCCATTCCTTACAATTCTTCTTAATTTTTTTCAGACTGGTGCATATTTAGAAATAAAATCTAGGCAGGTGGGCAGGACAATATGATAGAAATGCCAGGCATAAAAGCAAGTGGACGGGACAGCAGAAGAGCAAGTATCAGTGAGTGAGCAGACTTAAAGAGCAGCAAGGGGACGCTATAATTGAGAAGCAGGTGAAAGGCAGGAGGAAAATGCCAGACATTCAGCAAGTCGATAAAGCAGTACCAAACAGTCAGCAGGTGCGCCAAGCAGCAGAAGAGCAATTCCGCAAAGTCAGCAGATGCACTCAGCCGGAAGGTGATGCCAGGCACTCGGAGCGAGAGACGGGGCAGCAGAAGGCCAATGCCCATGTGCAATCAGATCAAAAGGACAATAAGGAGGCAATACATGCCATTCAACAGATGGACAGGGCAGTAGGTAGTCAGTGTCAAGATATTAGCTGGTCAAGAGGTAATGCCAGACCGTCAGGCAAAGGGCCAAGATTTCAGGAGGACAACACCACACAGCCAGCAGGTAGAGAGAATAAAAGAGAGCCGTGAATGCCAGGCAGTCCCCAGACAGGCAAGGCAGCAAAAGACCAAAGCCAATGAATAATCAGATGCGACTGTCAGCAAGGACAAAACATAAACCTGCCAACCGATTGACAGGGCAGCAGGGTGGCAGTGCTTTTTCAATAACTTAGGATACCATGAGTGAAACAGTCCCAAGAATCTAGATGCTCACCCTCTGGTAATATCATTAGATCAGAGTGAACCATGAAAATCCACAGGAGAATAGCACACAAATGGAAACAGCAGATGAGTCTGACCCTAGCACCTGGGGAGGCCATGGGACCTTCCTATAAACAAAAATATGAGAATCCACAAGAAAAATCAAACAGATGGGAAAAATGTGTCTAAAAACCGTTTTTGATGATGATTAAAAAAGCAAAAAAATACTAGCAAAGAATTAGTTTGGAAATGATTGGGTGGGATTGAAGATGTTGCTTACCCCTCTCTGGAGCCCACATAATGGGAATGTTGGGAATTTCTGCAGCAGAAAAACAGAAGAGAAAAGGGATTTCTGACTCCCAGTTCAAGGAAAGCATGTCAGTTTAGGACTGGGTAACCTCACTGGGCAAAAAATAAGAATTCAGCTGAATCTTTGCCCATTCCCAGATACATGCCTTTATTGAGGTTTGCGAAAAATTTAAGAAGCCCACATCACTTTCATCTCATGACATCCCACCCTTATTCCCCGAAACCACACTTACCTCTAGCACAGGGTGTATAAGAGGGGAAAGGGGATGGTCTTGTGAGCTCATTCCCACATCCACTGCAAAATAACTTGTGAAGATGAACAGGAGTACCCATTAGCCACTGCTGGCCATTTGTGAGACAAACTGAAGAAGCCATTAACTGTTACTCATCACTAGTGTAGGCTGGTGTTTGAATCTGGCTTACATACACCCACATTCTAATGAAAAGAATTAGTCTTACGAGTCTTGTGGGGTAACCCTCTTCTATAGCAAGAGTTGTAAAAGTATGAAACTTATCAACACCTTTTTTTACCTTGAATCTCCTCTTTTTAACTTAAGCGCTATCTTATTTATCATGGTTTTTTTCTTAAACAAATCAGAACACGTTTCAGAAATCTTAGCTGCTGCTCTATTTCAGAAACATGTAATAAACTCTGGAATGTAAGAGCTGAGAAAATCCCAGCAGTAATAAAATTCAGTAATTTAACTCATCCGTCATTTCAGTCATGGGTCTTTTTATTCAGTAAGTATCTTCCCAGTTACTAAAAGTCAACCAACCAGGAATCAAACTTCACTATTTCTGTCCTCTTAGAAGTCCACATTGTGAGTGTACTTATCTGCCTGCACATTAACTTCTCATTGATAACACTGAAAACCTGCATCTCACTTTGATAAGGCAATAACATGCAACAAGCCAACCCTTCCCTCTCCTGCAAACCATAGAGAACCTTAGACACAATAAAGGAATCATTAGTTCTGTTGTGCACTGCTGAATTAGGATTTGGAAAGGTCACAGAGACAGAATCCAGACGAATTTGCCATGTACTCATAAGCAACAAAGCTTTTAAGGAATACAGTAGAAATAGGCTAGGCTGACAGAACATTATTTATGCTGATCCTCTGGGTATCAGCCACTCATTCTCCTTCTAGCTAAGTAAGGCACAGGAATAATAGAGGCTAATATAACTTCAAATTTAGAAACTGGGGTCATAGAACAGCAATTTCTTCCATATGCAAACCTTCCTGTATCAAACACTACTATTTGGGCTTAGAACAGAATGACAGGAAATTTTGGCAGAGACCAAGTGATTTCCATCATATAATTAGTAATTGGCACAAACCAGCCAGGAATAGCACACACTGACTGAACCAGAGTAGATCTTAATACTACAGAGTGCGAGGTACTTAAAGCATGCATTGGCAGTTTTATCAAATCCTGTGATTTTGTGGCCAGCAGCTACAACAGTTAGCTGCACAACATCAAGAACAAAATTGCTAGCACCTTTTCTCCAAAGGGAGATATTTCAAGGCTCAATGAAAATGAACTATGACAAACTGATCTCAGCAAACCATAAGAAAATGTTTATTTCTGGAAGAAAAGATGGACTTTTTAAATGTAGTGAAACTTTAAATGTCAATGATAAATAATCAACAGTAGATTATTCACCTCACTATTAAATTGGGTATTCTTATCACAAAATAATTGGGAAAAAGAATACATGCATGAAGTGACAAGAAGCTAAAATATCTGCAAATGGTATAAATTAAGGTTAAAAAGTAATTATTTTCTTGTCCATAATTGATAAGACTTTCATGCCTGAGTGTGACAACAGTCATTTTTTAAGAATATTTTTTAAGAATAACTGCTGAAGCCAGCTGCTTTCCAAGACTCTTCTAGTTTCTTTCCACTTAGTGGCTGGAAGAGCTCCTACACAGCAGGCAAGGAGCAAATGAGAAATCCTCTACTCTTTAATAAGCATTAGTTTTAATGATCAACTATTTTAATAGTGAGTCATTTTGCTATTCTGGTGTGCTTATGTCAAAAGGACTAACTGACTCAATTTTTGATACATCTTAAATCCAAACTAGTATTTGCCCTCTGGTTATAATTTCTTTAAGCTGCCTTCACAGAGAAGTCTTCCTAATGTGTCTATACATTTTTTTGTTCATTTTCTCCATATTAAGCTTTTATTAAACTCTTTGTAATAGACTGTGACCAGAAAAAAAACGACACATTAGGGGCAAGAATTGCATAATTACAAGCCTGACAATGTTTTCAAGATTATTTTGCCTTAACCTGATGTTTAATTTTGTTCAGTTCCCTATTATCTGCTGTGAAGAGATGTTTTAATGGAACCTATTTTTAGAAATGCCTAAAAGGAACAAAATTCCAAAAGTTCCAAATTGAAAATTTCATTATGCAGAAGTCCAATGGCAGGCATATTTTTCTCCCCAAGTTACAGAAAGGACTGCAAGATCTACCCACTGCTGCAGCTACACTGCTAATAGGAGCCAAGCCAGTTAATTTAAACTAACAGGGAGATGTCCGTATGACCTGTGGTCCCTACAGTGAAAACACAGCTAAAAGGCACCAGTAATGCTAAGAGAAGGAGAACCCTTCTCTTTACCCCAATAAAAAGTAAATTATAATCATATTGTTCTTCTGGGTGTATTTTTGAAGGTATTTGGGATCACTGGGGTATGAACCATTTGTTCACCCACAGGACATGCTGAGTCTTCTTCCAACTTCCATTCTGAAATTACCTTGGAATAAAAAACTTAATTGCAAAATTTAAGATAAAAAAGCGAGATTTCCTGGCTTTACTGTGGTTTTGCTTCTCATTCTATGAAACATTCAAATCCTTTACTGCTGTTTTGCTACTGTTTGCTCCTTTTCAACAAAGCTTGCAAATATTTCATACATGTCTGAAAGACAGAAAACAGAACTTCTATTTGCTATTTGAGAGTATTAAGGAAAGCTAAAATAAAGCAAAAAGAAGCTGAACCTCAAATGGGCAAAAATACCCAACTGCTTAACAGGAATTCTATTAGTATTTAAGATGTGATGGTCAGATGACTTTACACAGAACTTTAATACATTAGTTAAATAATTTAAAATATATTTGCCCCAGCATCCTCAGCCAATATTATCAGAGTTTTGCATTTTCAAAAAAGAGACAGAGAAGCAATTAATGTAATCCTTTTGGACGCAGGAAATGAAATTGCTTATTTATTAATTTCAGGATCCATTTGATTCAAACTATCTTTTCATTTAACATATACAGAACATAAGGCTAGAATCTAGTTTAGCCTTCCGCACACGATAACTTATTAAATGTCATCCATGACTTCTGTAAGGAGTACAAGATAACTTGCATTTTACAAGACATCTCTCCCACAATCAATCACTTTTGATTTGACAGGATTAAAACGGAGAATACAGCTCTTTAGGGAATTTGTCTGTGTGATTAATCTCTCATTGTTAAACAAACCAACCAACCGAATCCCATAAAAACATTCCATTGGATGATTTTCTTATTAGACTTTTCTGGTTCACCACCTATTGTTAAAATTCTCTTTAGTAGACTAAGAAAGCTGTTGGTACCTTACATTATTATTTCCCAAAGAAAATACAGTATTTTAATAACAGTAATACAGTATATACTTTACATTATTTTCCCAAAGAAAGTAGAGGTAAAAACCAAGTTACTTCCCAGTGTTCTTTATGATAAACTATCCAGACTGAGTTGTGTAACTCTCACAGAAAGCGTCCCTCCTAGCCAACATTTTTTTTTTCACCTTTCTCTATATCCACTCTGACATTTAAAACTCTTTAGAAAGGGAATGTCAGAAAAACATGCAGCTTTCCATTTCAGATATTTCTTTAGACAAAAGTATCCTCTGTATTCCTATTCCTTTTTTTCCCCACCATCTTCATACTTGTCTATGTCGGGAAATCTAGACAGAAACAAGTTGAGAAACATACTTTTTTTTCAACCCAGTATCTCAGCTGGATATACAGACAAGGAAACATTCAAAATGGCTGCTTATGTAGCAGAATATCAAGAATTTACCAATCCCTCTTTATTTATCAAAATTAGCATTCTTCAGGAATGTTCTCTCTGCATATATTTCCTCCTTCCTTTGGTTTTTTTTTTTTTGATTGGGGGTTTGGGGTGGGGTGAGGGGCTTCTTTCTTTTTTTGTGTAACCTCTGATATTTGAGTAAATGGAGCTGAAATGGGACCTGGCTTCCTTCTCTCTGACATTTCTCACTATAGCTGTCCTGGCAGCTCACAGGTGTTTCCATGCAGCAACTGCAGTTGATGATAGCACAACCAAGCTCTTCAGTGATGCTGGCGTGTTACCAAGTTTTCCTGAGCAACTCAAACAAGAGAAGAGAAAGCGCACTTTTTAGCACTTCATAAGTCATCTAAATCAGTTTGGCATTTCCCAAGACACAGATACTTCTGTAACCTGAACGGTGTACTGTGTAGTGCAAATAATCTCTATACTGCTGCTTCTCAAAGAAACTGGTAATAGTTGTTTAGTGAAAAGTGTTCTGCAACTAAATATATCGATTCTGCTATAATCACATGCCTTCCAAATACAAGATTTAAAATCTAATTATAGAATTTTTAATTAAGGCACACAAATATATTTGCATTTTTATAATAGCAAATACAGCATTTCAAATAATAAGTATCATTGAAAAATTAAAGCAGACTGGATAAAGACCTAATGATATAAGCTAGGAACTGTCTGGAGGACTAAGAAAAAGGGAACAGTACCTTAGCTGCTAATAAACTTATAACAGAGTAGCGCAGAATTTGGAAGGAGTCTGTTACAGAGCAGTCTATTCCATTTAAGCATATTTGTTGCCTAGATGCACCTGGCAAGGTTTCATAGTTCAGACCCTTTAGGAGCAAGCTGGGTTGTAAACATAATTTTCTAAGAAATACAGAGAACAATAGTTCTCAAAAGGTCTGATGGCAAGTTACAGGATCAGACAT